CCCAAATCATGAAAGAACCCTTTGAGAAGTCAAAAACTGGAAAGCATTAAGAAAGGGAAATGAAACTCTTCATGCACCTGTTAGTTGGCATTCCCAGTTATCATGTGAACAAACAGGATGCTGGATACCTATGTTTCCGAGAGGTGTACATCCTGAAGAGCTTCTGTTTATTACTATATAGCTTACTAGGAGTGAGGGGAAATAGAGGATCATATTACTAAGCATTCCATGTGAGGGAAGGGTTAGGTTTGTCCACATAAGCTGTCTCAGATCACTACCAATGCCCTTTTCTGTTAACAAGCAATGAAGAAACGAGCCACGTTTAATATGCCAAAGAGCAATCGGAATTTTGAAGATGGGAATCCTCATCTCAATGAGACATCACATTATCAGTCTTTCCTATCAGTCTACAGAATTGTACAACTATAACTTTGGAAATACATGCTTATGATCAGAATATACAGCATCCAGATTTGATGTTCACATATCACTTACCCACACTGCAAATAATACTTTATTTTTATCCCACCTTTCTCCCAATATAGGGACTCAAGGTGGCTAATAAAGTAAGTAATGAAGAATATCTCCTTCCCTTGGAAGTGTGTGGGTTCTCTAGGCTGTTATTGCAATTCTAGGACACACTTCCAGCCCAAGTATAATCAAAATATAGAGGTTACTATTTTCCATGGTTTCTGTTATGCATAGGGTATAGGTCTTAGAACATATTTTTATCATTTATTTATGATGTTTCTACCCTGCTTTTCACACCCTGGAGGGGACTCAAGGTGGCTTTACATGAAAGCAACGATTCGATGCCTTAAAAAACAATTTATACTTAATATTAAAATAGAATAAAAAAGTGCATTAAAAACAATTAAAACATTTACAGACAATACATTCAGAGTTAAACATGTAATCCATGAGCCTAATCCGGGCTGTTCCAATGGTAATTGTACATCGTTCTAAGTCTATCTATTGCACAAGTTCACTAATGGCTTGGTCACAAAGTCACGTTTTCACTTTCTTGTGGAAGTTCAGGAGGGAGGGGGTTGATCTAATATCCCTGGGGAGGGAGTTCCACAGCCAAGGGGCCACCACTGAGAAGGCCTGTCTCTCATCTTTGCCATTCGCGCCTGTGAGAGAGGCAGGACAGAGAGCAGGGCCTCCCCAAATGATTTTAAACTCCACAGTGGTTCATAACGGGAGATACGTTCAGACAGATAAGCTGGGCCAGAACTATTTAAGGCTTTATAGGCTAGGGCCGGAAATTTGAATTGTGCTCTGTAGCAGATTGGCAGCCAGTGCAGCTGACATAACAGGGGGGTTGCATGCTCCCTGTACGCCACTCTGGTGAGCAATCTGGCTGCCGCCTGTTGGGTGGATATGGGAGTTGTGCTGTATTATTTCAATAGAACAAGATAGTATAAGCTTCCTTCCCTAACATAATAAAACAATGTATTTGGCTAACTGTCTTTTAAGTTATTTATAAATGTTCTGACATGAGGTTTAGGTGGGATACAGGTTCTACTACACCCTAAACAATCTTGCAAAAATGAATTCTAAGTAAAATTTGTAGAAATTTTAATTGACTCATCATTTGCATGTGAGATATTTTATGCAATCTAAGACATGTGAAACCTCTGAATAACTTTTTGTGTGTTGTTTTTCCATAAAAAAGCATGAAACCTATCAATTTTAAATATTCAACTTCAAGTGAAATGGGGAAACAAAACCTATTATGAGAAAACCATGGCACATTTCAGAGCTGACTGTTAATATTAATTTTTTATTTGTTTGCAGAAAGACTTAAGATTACATAGGTGTTCCAAGGCACTGTTTGACTACTGGCATCTGCTACATACATGTGATTTACTGAATCATAAAACTTATTCCTAGAAAGCTATCACGAGAAATATTCACTCTTGGCCTTTCCTGAATATTCATGAAAGAAGCATATTAGATTTGCCAAAAAGATTTGCCACAAAGCACATCAAAATGGAAGACTTTGCATGAATCCTGAAAAGGTTGTAATATGTTGCAATCACATTGTGTGTTAAAGTGAAATAAATAAATAAATTTATATCCTGCTATAAGAGCTACTGTTAATTGTGTCCTACTCCGTCACCCCCTCTTCCCCAAGTTTTGCTCACTGGATCATTTGTTTGGGTTAGTCTTTAAGATTGCACCCCCACTTTCACTCACTTGGTGGCTTGGGAGAATCACTGTCTCCGAGCTGACGCCATAGTCTGTTGGGAATTAAATGAAAAAAAGAATTCTATATATTGTTGGACTTCAACCCACAGAAGTGCTAGCAGCTGGCATGACCAATGGTAGACACAGAGAGTGTGTGAGCGCATGTGTATGTGTTTTCCTATCTATCTCCTCCATAGCCATCAAAGCTATTTTAAACTTGGCATGGATACTATGAGGATATGGACTCTAAGGCTGTTGCTGCTGTTATTTTTAAAAGGATTGATGTGTTTCTAAAAAAGGGAAAGAACAAAAAGAAATACAAAGAATGGAGAAGAAACTGAGGCTGCTTCCACACAGCTGAATAAATGCCACATTATCTTCTTTGAACTGGGATATATAGCCGTGTGGACTCAGATAACACAGTTGAAAGCAGATATTGTGGGATTTTCTGCCTTGATATCCTGGGTTATGTGGCTGTGTGGAAGGGCCTTGAGGGGTTTTCACGGAAAGTTCCTACTTTGCTAATACAAAACATAAATAATTTTAAGACAATACTAACAACTAAAAAGATTATTTATTTTAAAGGCTGAATATGAATTTAAAAATGAGAGTGTGGCTACATTGTACTGAAAGAATGGCTGATGAAGAAAATAGAATGCTTTTGCTGACTGTATATTATAATGAAAATGAATGAAAATCTGTATCATCTTAATCTTATTTACAGTATGAATATGAAGAAAATGCAGTTTTTACCAATGCCACCTTGAAGTGGTTGGAGTATACATGTCAAAAATGATGATGATGATAATGATTGATGATAACATAAATATTAAACTTGACTCCATGGCTCCATCTACACTACCATATAATCCAGTTTCAGAATGCGGATTAACTGCACTAAACTGGATTATATAGCAATATACCCATATAATCCAGTTCAATGCAGCCCATTCTGCATTATATGAGTCTACACTGAGCATTATAATGCAGTTCAAACAGCATTATATGGTAGTGTAGATGGGGATGATGACAATTTGGGGGGCTTTTGTGAGTAAATACAAAAGGCAACATGGAAACATCATAAATACTATTCTAATTTTTATTGTTATGATAATAGATGTATGGCATTGAAATAATAATAATAATAATAATAATAATAATAATAATAATAATAATCAACAGCCAGCAGAGTGTCTGCTGTGGACTCATCTTGTTGTGTTTCAAATAATAATAATAATAATAATAATAATAATAATAATAATAATAATTACATAGCTATATGTATCAATTTAATTCATTGATAGTGAATTCAATAAAGAATAGTTATTTTTCTGTAGAACTAATGGAACTAATTATGAAAGATTTTAGGAGAAAGTGCATAGGATCCATGCTTGAAGTTCCTAACTGTTAGTGATGGAAAAACACACTCCCAAATCCCACCTTCAATTAATGTTTTTACATCTTGAGCAAAGTATCGTATCCAACTTTTTTTATTACACTAAGAGAAGATGATGACTAAATAATTTCAGAACATGGGTAGGTAATGACCACCCAACAAATAAAAATGGTCCAAAAATAATAGTAGAAGTAGTAGTAGTAATAATAATAATTTATATCATGTTTTCCACCAAAGGATAGAAAATCAAACCTGGCTGTTTTAGGTTTGATATCTTAGAATCTAAACATGGTGAAGTTCATGTGAGGAGTGTCATTCACCTTGCTCATGTGTTTGTGATATTTACAGGTTTTTGGACCAGTGTGAAACTAAACCAGTGATGTAGATCCCCAGCTACTGCATGAATTTTGCCTTTGTTGCTTTTGTTAACAATTAGACTAATTTGTGAAAATTAAGTGTAACCTTGATTACATCAAATGTTAAAGGCAATATACTTCTGATGGTCTAATGCAGGTGGCAATACAAAGAAACTGGCCATCATCCTGATGCCACACTTACAATCTCCCACAAACACAAATCCAGGCAATTGCTGGAAATTGTATTATGTAGGCTAATATTGTCAGGTGCAAGGGCCCTTGCTAGATCAAAACACTGTAGAAGTAGAAGAAAACACTGTTGTAGTAGAATTTTTTGGTGATGCCTTCTGTACTTCATATAACGGAAGTACATACTTCATATGTACTTCAAAGTTTCCTCATTGCTCAAAATCTATTTATTGTTTTCCAGCCATGGAGCAGGAGAGCGGTGGCATGTGAAAATGGCTCCATTTTCTCCAAGGAGGCCAAATTGAGACGTTTGATTAGCAGGACAGGCAAAAGATGCCTGTCTCCCCGTTTTTAGCCAGTCACAAGAGCAAAGGTACAGAAGGGAGAAAAATAAAAGTCTCATAACTACCTAGCATGTATAAATATGTAAATCTTCCTTTCACGCATCAACTAACAAGTTATGACTCTCTTTCTATACACTGTTTTTTTCATTTTCTGTTACAGAAGATCTTTCAAGTTCTTATTTCTTTGGCTCTCAATATGGTCCTTTCTTGCATCTATCACATTGCATTATAGAGCAGTAGTCTGCTCCGAGCCTACTCTGTTACAGTAGAATCTAAATATTAAGTTTGGAAAAGTTGCTAAACATCTATTGGACAGTATTTGATCCCCTCTGAAACAATTATTTGGCTACAAAAATTAAAACTTCCTTATTTGTGTTTTTGTTCCTATAATTAGATACCATTACAGTTTTCATTCACATAGCATTGCGCCAGAATATTTTGAGCGCGCCCTCTCAAAGATGTGCACACTTTCTGAAATAATTTGTTAAGATTAATTTTAAAATGTATAGAAACACCACAAACCTGCCAGATGCTTCACCTTGTTCTTTCCTTCATGTTTCAGTGAAGGGAAGAGAGAATGTTTGAGGAAGAAAGAAATTTGTTATGCTGGTAGTAACCATCATGATATAGTTATAAATACTGTTACATAAAAACTGAATTACATGTGTTAATTATATTAATAGGTTTAATAACATTTTATAAAACAATCAACATCATTCATATAATGACAGTGGTACCAGAAAAATATTCCAAGAACATACCAATGCATGCTCATGGGTTTCGTATGCACAGCCATGGGGTGAGTTGACAAAGCGCATATTAGGCAAAATGCAGTGGTCATATCCAAAGAAGAGAAAATTGTAGGATACTTAAACTTAACAGCTGGAATAGAAATATGACATCAAAAGACTTATGCTGTTTATTCCAGGGCAATATTTCCCTTGGTCTAAACTGCATTTTAATATAGTTTAAACAGTCCTATCTGTTTAAAATATATTAAATCCCCCCACTTAAATTCTTTCTGCTTCTGAAAATATGTTTGGGACAGCCAGGGGATGTAAGATGAGGTGTTAGGGACTAAAGGGGGAAAGAGTAATTGATAGAAATTGCTATCATGCACTTTTTTCTAAAGGGCTTCCTGATTTTTTTTCCAAATGCAGAAAAGGTCGTTCTGTTTACAGAAGAGCAATTCTGAGCCCAATCCAAGATCCTTCAGTATAATTAAGGATTAAAATTTCAATGAATTTTTCTGTTATCTGCATTTTTTTCTAAAATCTATTTGAATTTTTAAATACCCATTTGAATGTTTGCTTCCAGCAATGGATTAATTGTGAGCTGTATTCATTGTAACTCTTTGAAATACACCAATCAGTTTTCTGAGCCCATTTATTTGCAAGAGAATGATAAGGATGGGTGGACAAACTTGACCAGTGGTTTTCAACCTGTGGATCCCCCAGGTTTGGCCTTCAATCCCCAGAAATCCTAACAGCTGGTTAACTGACTTTGATTTTTGGGAGTTGTAGGTCAAAACACCTGGGGTTCCACAGGTTGAGAACCACTGAATTAGACAGATATGTAATCTCCACAACCCCATGTTTTGAAACAGTGTTTGGTCCCATGTTTGCTTGCATTAAGCCATAAATATAGCTTTGTGTCCTGTTATTCAAGAGGTTTAATATCCAAGAATGTCTTGGCTACACAGAAGAGATGTGTTTTCAGGGAAAAGGTGGAAACTCAGAGGTTATAGAAAGATAGTTTAGGTTTTGTTTCTAATTTCATTCATTCCTGTTCCTACAGCTACACATAGGAACATAAATCTTTGAAATATCCATATGGAAAAACAAGACGGCAGACTTACTAAACAGATATGAAATCCCACCACCCTCCAATTATGAGGCAACATTATACCATATGGAACATTTCACTTCCAGAAAATACTCAGGCTCAGACTTTCTTGGGAAAAATCAAGGAAAAGGAATCAATACTTATCATAGAGATGTTGACTATACATCCCTTCCAAACCAATCTGTACTATAATTCTTAGAGGCATATTTAGTATCAGGTTTAATTTTCTGAAAAACAATAACAACTAGGGAGCCTTTGATTATAGTCTTAATGCACAATTTCTGCCAAAATGTGCAGACCATATTTTTGCTGACCGAATTCTGCCTTCAGCTGGAAGGGTGCTGTCTCTTTGACTACAGTTGTCTTGCCAAGGAGAGTAGCTGAAGAAATGCTGCTATTTTTATCAGTGTTTCCAAAAAAAGTATAATGTACAAAGCCACACACGTCTCTTTAGTTGCAGTTGGGCATTACCAAACACTCTTATCGATATCACACATTGAATAAGATCGGCGTGTGTGTGAGAGAGTGTTATTGCTAACACCCTCCTACATGTTTCTCACAGAAGAGGAAACATGTGGATCTGAACTGACAATAAGAATAACAAGGTGACATTTAAGCTTCTGTTTAATAAAAAGACACAGAGTACTCTGCAAATTGAATGTGGTAGCAAATTGTTTACTGTGCACAAACCAAAAGCTTGCATTTGTCATTTTTCTGATCTAAATGCCACGTGCCATGGCGGTACAAATTAGTGTTGCCCTTTGTCTACCGTGAGAGTACAGATTTAGACAGCTGAGAATTAATGCTGGAAAGTAAGGAAAACCTATTGTCTTTTCCATCTGTATACCCAGTAAATATGATAAAATACTATGTAGTGGAAGCCAGGAGATATAGGCTGCTATAAATCCTGAACAGGTAATGCCTCCCTAACTATATTAAATAAGATAAATTAGCACTAGCTGAGTTGAACACAGATAATTTGCCTAGGTCTATTAAGAAATTAACTTTCAGTAGGGTTCCGAGGAACTGAAAGAAAAAACTCCTTGTGTTGCCATATTGTATGAATAGTTCAGAAGTAAAAGAAAATGGGAAGGAGAGGAGTCTTCTTATGTTTGCAGATTGTGTAATTGGCTCAGTTTGTTATCTAAGCTCTCCCTTACGGAATAAAAAGACAATGAAATGGGTTGGAGTGGGGAGAAAGAGAAAGAACATGGCAAACCCATACACGGATTTTTATGAGCTCAAACAGAGACAAAGTACAGCACCAGCTGCCATATTTTACCTACTTTGTAGGGCTGCAGGTATGCAAGGCCTTCAAATGAGGCTTCCAGGTAGCAATGGAAACTGATTTCTCATCAGCCGCATAACTACGCCATACACACTACGTGCAGAATAGGTGGTAAAGAAAGAAAAAGAGGCAAGAGGGAGCGGGGGATGAAACAAAAATGGAAAAGCGTATTAGTAAACCAATAAACGTCATGGGTTTTTCGTATCATTCATAGCACTGATACATGCCTGAAGGATGGAAGAATACTTTCATAATATCGCCAGGTGGCTGTCAGGTTTGTTCGTCTGGAATCAGTAGAATAAAACCGCCAAGTAGCCTGGTGTGAGGAAACAATAGAAAGCACAAAGGAGCCAACAATATATGAAACGAAGCACTGTTATTATTATGGAAAATCTGGATTTGGTTCAAGATGGAGGACCTGTTCCACTGATTTAAATAATTAGTTTAGTAGGCTTATACCCGCAAAGTGCAATGAACACTGGGTGACAATTATTTAACAGTAGAGGAAAACAATACATAGAAATGTCATTATTATCACATCTTTATGGAAGCTTTGAGCTGCACCACTTCAATTGTGACTGATTTTCATAGAACCCCTTCATGCTTGTGAGTGAACTGTGATGAAAAACAGTGTACCTGTGTATTTTGAAAGCATAACATACCAAGTGCCTCAGTTTTTTAAGAACAGTCTCAGGTACTGCAATATAATTTTGACCAATGCCTCCTCACAAGATAAAGTAATCGAAGACCAGATCTTGGTCCTTGTAACACATCATACAAACTATTGTTACAGGCAGACTTAAACGTTACTGGATACAGTCTATTTTTTCTAAATACTTGCTTCACAATTAAAAATTAATTCTAGTTTTGAATTTGTAAAACAACTGTACATCAGTTTCAGAACTTTATTTTAAATTTCCAATTTTCAGCATGATTACTAAGCCTGAAAAAGCAGTTTTCACAAGGCATATCCCTGTAAACACTGATAAGCATGTTATAAATCCCATAATTATGATTTGATGGTATGAACATCCTGTCAACAATTTTGGAACAGTGATTCGTTTCCCAGCTTTTCAAAATTGTCCCTTTTACTTATCATTTTAGTTTAAAATGGTATTTATATCACATGAAAAATTGGCCAATTTAGATACTAAGCAAAGTATGCACCGACCAACACTATCTGTTCTCTAAAATGAAACAGTTAAAAGCCTTTGAGTATGTCTTCACTATTGCTTGAAGACTTGAAACCATAGAGAAGACTTTGCCGACTCTCATCAGAACTCAGCAATGTTACACAGGCTGAGTCTGATGGGAGCTGTAGTCCAAAATATCTGGCGTGACCCAGCTCTGAAATGTGGCTGTTGTGAAAAAGGAATGTTTTTATCAGCTTCCTCTTTGAGTTCATCCAACATGGATTCTTTAGGAAGATTTTGAATGTTGTGAAAGGGCACTAAATGGGTTATTCAGGGTGTTTTTACTGTATGTCTACTAGCAAACACTAGGAGCAATGCTTGTGGGATTTTCTGTTTCATGTACCAAAAGAACTTGGACAGTGATGCACTGTCACTGAGACAGTGCTAAAAGGGGAATTCGCTGTTTCATTTCAGGAAACCTAACATCTTGTGCTCTCCTGCTTGGTCTATATTCACAGTAGTAGCAAACTCTGGGAATAAAGAGCTATAGGGGACTGTACTTGGTATTCTACCCTATCATGCCCATGGTTTGGGATGAATCAGTGCACAATCCTTATCCTTAGATGGTTAGCTGAACATAACCAGTCTATAGCTGCATTCTAGGTACACATTAGCAAAGGTAAAACATGAGTCACACCTTTCCCTTCTTGTATGCAAAAAACATATCCCTGGTCATTCATTGATATTTTAACAGAGCACTGATGAGGGGTGGGGAGCTCTCTCTCTCTCTTTCTCTGTCTCTCTGTCTGTTGTAGCCTGGTCAGATTCTGAGTGTTCAGGTGAGGAGGAAAAGGATGATGGGAGATATTCAGAGGGCCCAGAGAAGAATGAAAGTGGCCCAGGGACAGTTGTTTTGGAATCTCTTGTCAGTTCCCATGAGACTGGAGAAAGCGATAACCATTCCCATGGGAACCTGCCAGAAGTGCAAGCTGACAGAAATGTAGGAGATGAATGTTTGTCTAGGTCAGTGGTTCTCAGCCTGTGGGTCCCCAGGTGTTTTGGCCTACAATGCCCAGAAATCCTAGCCAGTTTACAAGCTGTTGGGATTCCTGGGAGTTGAAGGTCAAAACATCTGGAGACTCACAGGTTGAGAACCACTGGTCTAGGTCAAGGTGACTGGAGTTGTGAAAAAAGGGCTTGTAACAAAGACAGAGTCAATTTTCCCAGAGAGATAAGGAGAGGAAAATCAGGTGTATGACAAATGATGTTATGGGTGGGATTCAGGCTTTTTAAAGTGGTTTCTGCTGGTACAATCCTTGTGAGTGCAATGCTGCATTCAGGTGAAGAGCTCTTGTTTTTTGGGCCTGTGCTCTTGGAATTCATGTATTCAAATTTTAAGCTGTTTTTGCTTCCAATTCATGTGTGGCATAGTTTGCCTGTCTTGGATTCATGTTACCTTGTCTTTGGATATCTCTGTGGGTTGACTTTGTAGACTTTCTGTGAATGGATTTTTGAACTCCCGGCTTTCATGGAAACAACCTTGTTAACTTTGCTTCTCTCTTTTGAATTTGCTTGCTTTTTATATACTCTGCTTTTAATAAACATTACTTATTGGATTACCTGGACCTGTGGTGTGTAAAAAGAGGCTTCAGGGCCCTAGTGCAACACCATCTTTTTCTCATATGTCTCAAATAGAAAGGCGAGTATTTGTGTTGGCCAGGAGCTGCTCTGAATCTGTGAACCTGGAACTTGTTTGGTAATTGTGTGATAATAGCAGTTCTGGCACGTTGCCTTCCCACCCAGTTATCATTTTTTTGTGACTGGAAATGCTCTGACTGCTCAGACATTACATCCTAGGCAAGAATAAATGATAAGCTGGGAAAAATGTCTGAATGATCCCCAAAGAGACGTTTGGCAGTTGTACTTCATGGGAATAACCCAGCATAATTTGAGGGTATGTTTGTCTGCCAAAACATTTCAGAGGAGACATTTTGTGGCTTTCTAAAGAACGATATTACACATAGAGCAAGGAAGAACAAGAACAACAAACACAGTGGGAATAGTTCTGAGCCCTTATACAATATATATTAGACAAGCAAGAACAAAAAAGCTCCATTCAGGCATCATAATAATTTTGAATAGAATGCCTCTTGATTCAACTGGGTGTGAAAAAGCCAAGTTATTCAACATACATCACTGAGCTCATGACAACAAAGTGAAGTCTAGTGTTAAAAAAATAAATATAATTCAGTAAGGGAGCCATTCGCAACATCAAATATGGTAATAGATGTTATTTGTCAGCTTCAACACATCAGTACCATCACTTCTAATGTTATTTTAGGAAAAATCATTACGTTCAGTTATTCAGACTGCTGTTCTGAATTCTTTGGACAAATATCTTTTCATGCAAACCGAATGTATTACTTCCTGCCATATAGTCACAGTTAAACTATTAAGAATGAACAGAATATATGCTACTGTGAAGTATCCTCAATTAATGAAAAATTATGTATCAGATTTTCAAGAAACCCATATTGTAAATGACATTATGTAAATTCTTATTGTTATTTTAGAATGATTATTTGAGGAAATCAAACATATTAAAGGCAAACATAACAGAGCTCTGTGGATGTCAATTGGATTTGTTAAACTGATTTCAATGGAGGATTGAAACTACCAAATTTGCAAAATCTGTGTGTTTTTTTTTCTTTTTCTTTTTAATCTGTGTGTTTGTTTTGCTCTGTTAGAATTGTAATACAATGGTTGCTGATGACAAATAAATGATAAATAAATGGAGGATTACACCCAAAGACTCCAGTTCAATAAAGCTAATATTGAATGATTATGTTTGCATGTACATATTACTTTTTGAAAGCCCAACTATGTTGTTGAGCAGGGGAGCCAAAGACATATGGGGCAAAATCCAGCCTCTACTCCTAAGCAGCTAATTTGTTGGATTTAAACAACTTTGAGGTATTTATCTAGGAGTCCCTGTAGAAACTTAGAACCATAAATAATAATAATAATAATAATAATAATAATAATAATAATAATAATAGAAATACTTTATTTATATTCCGCCCTTCTCACCCCGAAGGGGACTCAGTGCGATCACAGTACACATACAAAGCAGTACACATACACAGTTCTTGGTACAACTGGCATGAAGAAAACACCTGAACATGTTTCATCATGAGAAATTATTTACATAATTTTTACATTGAAAAAACACAGTGTAGTAACAATTGCAATAGCCATTAATCAGTACTTTTGAAGATCTGATTTCTACGCCACTTACCTGGATTAAGCTGGCAGCAGGATTTCTTCTTTTTTCAAAATGTTTCTGGCGGTGCTGTTCCTGTACTTTTAATGCAAATCCTGACCCAAGAATTCCCTGGTGTACAGAACAACAAATGTTATTTGTCAGGACACTCGTTTTGACAAGCGACAAGAGCACAAAATATCTGCAATCATATATATATATATATTACATACATATTCCTATCTTTTACTTCATCCATGCTTTTCTCCAGGCTTTATCACTTCAGTCTTGTTATCTCACAGCAATATGCAGTTTTTGCAAATGGAGGGCACTGCCGTAATTACATAATTGCAGGACTCTGGTGACCCTCCACACAGAAGTGCAAATGCACAATGATGGCAAAACAAAAGAAAACAAAAAATTTAAATCCCGTGGAACAGAGTAAAGTGGTGTGCCTTCAGTCTTCTTGAGACTAGGAAGAGCCATATCTAATCATAGTACAAGGCTGCTGGTTTATTGGAACTACAGTGGAATGAAACAATCACAACAGAAACAATAGTTGAATAACAGTGATATTGGAGTGATTGATGGTTTTTTTTCCATAAATGAAAAGTTGTGATTTAATAGCAATAGAAATATAATACAACAACAGGTGAGTGACGATGTCATGTGATAAGGAAGGATCAAATATGGAATTAATTCAGTGCAATTGTGCAACAAAAGTATCATGTGATAAAGTCCTTCATGAATACTTGAAACCAACCAATATTTGGTATTTCAAGTAGATTTGGGGGTTCAAGCGTTTAAGTTCCACTCCAAGAAAGGTTTTAGGTCATGGGAGGGATAAGGGATGAACACATTTTCTTCTTTTTGCAGAGATTACCACTGAAAGAAAAGACACTGATTTTCACAATTGTTTTGTCAATTCCTAGTGCCATCTCCCACACTTTAGTGGAGGTCACACTATCCCACGTGGCACAAGTGAAAGAGTCTTGTTGAATTGAGCTATATTATTTGGAAAATACACTTTCTAAATATAGAAAAAGGCTATTTAATGGAATTTGTCATCAAATTTCATCTGTGGCACATTGATATCTACACAATTCATTTTGAATGCAGTGTATTTCAAAACTATTCAAGTAGGTGTTAATGTCTGTAGACCAGCAAGCCAGTGAGTTGTTTTATCTGGTAGGTATAAGTATTCATAAGAATTTTAAGAATTAATGATTAGTCAGTTTGTTTCAAGGTAATAGCAGCTGGTTCGGAAATCATCTGCTCTCTCGGGCAAATGTTTTATTTTAATAATTAATGTGAAATAACATTTTTGCAGGGCATGAGAAACAATGTGGGTAATTATTTCACAACTTCAACGTTTCAGGTTTGGTTGATAATATTTGTAATTGTATAAACCCCAAGAAGACAGCACAACCTGTTCTGTCACCTTCTCCAATATGAGTATTTTTTTTCCATAGGTGCTTCTTTGTCAATGCCAAAATTGGGCATTATTTTTTGTAGCACCTTCTCCCCCATCCTCCGTGAATGGATCTGTATGAAAACCATTTCTTTCATGAGGAGCCCCCAGTGGCACAATGGGTTAAACCCTTGTGCTGGAAGGATGGAAGACCAACAGGTCGGAGGTTCAAATCCGGGAGAGCGTGGGTGAGCTCTCTCTGTCAGCTCCAGCTCCCCATGCAGGGACATGAGAGAAGCCTCCCCTGAGGATGGTAAAACATCAAAACATCTGGGTGTTCCCTGGGCAACTTCCTTGCAGACGGCCAATTCTCTCACACCAGAAGCGACTTGCAGTTTCTCAAGTCACTCCTGACATGAAAAAAAAATCATTAAGTATAATCTCATGGAGGTTTACTACATGATGAAGTGCATTCTTGGATGAGACTGAGGATGCTTCTGTGCTGACAACATGAAGCAGGTCTTCCAGCCTACTGCTGCTGGAGAAAATGCTGCAATAGGTACAAACAAGGATGAGCTGAAACTGAATCCCCTGCCATTTAAGAACAGTGGGGACCGGAGTAATTATGCGTTGACTTAATCTGATATGCATCACACATAAGTTGTTTATTATTTAGGACTGTGACAATTTAAGGCACCAGACTATCAGATAAAACTTTTGGATATGTCGGATCAATGTGAGAATGTGTCATAGGACATGGCTTTTTAAAAACAAAAATTACTCAGTAATGATGAACTATAACAAAAGTTGAGGTCCTGGTTACAAACACATTGACCCAGGCTGTTAACACTCTGTCCCGCAGTGTCGGCAACCATGAATAAAGTAGTTTAAGTTTAATATGTACTGTAGTTGCAAAGATACTCACAGCAGGCAGTGCAAAGAAAGAAATCCCAAGGAGTGCGAATCCTGCAGAAAGCAGTCTTCCTAGCCAAGTAAGGGGTGTTTTATCTCCATAGCCAATAGTTGTCAAAGTGATCTGAAAGGAAGCAAGTGTAAATTAATGTGGGCAAAAAGTGGAAAGAGCTAGTGTCAAGAATTCTAGGCTTAACTCGGCATTAGTCACAAAGACACACTTTCCAGACCAATCAAGGCTTCTCCTGGGCAGTAAGCATATTCTTCAATGGGCTGCTCTCACTAAAACAGTTCCATCTCTCCAGTTACATAAAATATTTGTTTTTTTTAAAGAGATGTTTTTCTAAGCTACTTCCTAAATAATTTAAATCTGTAGTTGGGATAATATTAATGTATTCATTTAATTTATATTCTGCCTTTCTCCTCGCAAGGGACTCAAATTAGATTTTTTAAAAATCCACCTAATTAAGAAAGATATTTAATTGAACACCTTTAATAACTTTAATATGCTAACTGGGAATACCAGGCAAGATTTTGATTTCTCCAGAAGTCTTTATCAAGCAAGATGGTAAAAATAAGAACACACAAATGTGGAGGTGGGAAAGGGACAAATGACTAAATATTGCCATGAGATGGAAGATTACACTATATCCAAATTAAGCAAATCAACCAATAACTGAAATATTACACGCATTTTATATTCATATTAGAGCTAGCAGAAAGTAGACATAGAAGAGGAGGAGGAGGAGGAGGATTGAATACATCTCCCAATTTCTGAAAATAAGTCTTTTTCTCAGAACTATCTTCATCATTAGACAAAATGCACCTGCTTCTCATAGTTCAAGAAAATAATTTTATCCTTTCAGCAAAAGGAATTTGAAACCAGTGGGAATGTTAATATAGTATTCCTGCTTTTTAAATAACAGGATCAGATTTCTTTAAAGGAATTGAAATATGAACTTTGAGATAACTGTGACATTTGTGTGTGTGTATTGTGTGTCTTCAAGCCCTTTCCAACTTACAGTGACCCGAAGGAGAATCTATCATTAGGTTTTTTCAGAGAGGCTTTACTTTTGCCTTTGCTTCCCTCTGAAGCTGTGAGAATGTATCTTGCCCAAGATCACCCAGTGGGTTTCCATAGCTGACTGGTGACTTCAATCTTAGCCTTTGCTGCACTTTGCTGGCAGTGAAATGTGAGTTAGAATTAATCAAGAAGTCTACAAAATTCTATGAGCAATAATCAAAATGCACTTTCATTTGCAGGAATGGAAATGAGGGATTGATGGAAAGTAAAGGTGGTCTGGAAAGACGAGACTTGAGGTTTCTGAGAGCACTTTAATATATCTATATAAGGTAAGTTAATGCAATTTAAGAAGACATTATATTTATTTTAGAATAATAATAATACACTTTATTTATATTCTGCTTTATCTCCCCGGAGGGACTCAGAGTGTATTACAGTTTTATATATATAAAGCAAACATTCAATGTCTTTTTACACTGTGAACAATGACATACAATACACAGAGAGAGGTAAAGGCCTTCCCCTTTTTATCTCCGGTGTCTGGAGGTGATGCTCAACTCTAGCCATGGGGAGGTGCTCTTGTTCCATTTTTCCATGCTGAGGAGCCTGTTGTCCATAGACAGCATAGTTGTCCATAGACAGCATAGTTACCAGCACATCCACATGTCTGCATGGGGAGCCCTTTTACCTCCCTGCTGAGGTTGTACCTATTGATCTACTCGTATTACATGCTTTCGAACCGCTAGGTAGACAGAAGTTAGGGCTGACAACTTGGAGCTCATATTGACTTGTGGCTTCAAACTGTTAACCATCCGGTCAGCAGATTTCCTGCAGCTAGCAGCTTAACCCGCTGCGTCACTTCGGCAATGTATACATGGCTTCTTTAGCATCATATATATTAATGGCAGGGCAAATTCACTAAGTCTCCTGTCTCCAATTGGCATGAGGCAGGAAATGGCAGGATGTTCCCTACTCTCTGTTTTTGATAGTGGTATAGTTTGCTTGGAGCTTTGCACATTCAAAGACCAACCAGGTTTTCTGCTGGACTAAACATGGATGGTAGTTTCCTTCTTTGGCCCGCCCATTAGGTATAAAAATAAGCTTGCCTATTAACCACTCCTCAGTGCCAAATGGATCTTGATTTGCTAAGTGTGATTTCCTCCCATACATAGTGCCCTTGTGAAGAGACTGGTTTATGAAAGTTAATTATATCATTATCATGGATACATCTTGTGCAGTGACTATGCTCTTACTAATGACAAGGCATTAAGAGTACTTCAACTCTGCCCTCCTTCCTGTCTGAGATAAAATTGGCTTGATTTCATTACATCTAGGCAATCATAGCATATGCATATTCATGGATTTGAGCAGAAAGGACAGTCATGCCAAAAGCACACATTGGATGTAAGCTTATGAGGGGCGTGGGGGAGATATAGTCTTCAAACGACTGTAGGGACAGTTAAGACTTGAAATGTTAACAAGGGATGAACCAATATCTTTCCTTGATGGACTTGCCATTTCCCAAAGTCCCTCTCCCAACAAATCAACATCACCCTGTTTATCAGGAATGAGCCCAAATTATGAAGCCTGCATCCCAGCTGCTCTCATTGCCAGTGACTGGAGAATAGGGAGATGTTTCCCAGCTATATTTGATGAAAGGAGGAAGAGCTTACGGAAGAGACGGAGCCAGCTGCCTCTTCTCACTAATGGCACTGCAGGATCACAGCCTCCTCAGCAGGGAGGCATACTAAGGGTCCTTCAGATTTTTATGTAATTGAGAGAAATAAGAAATCGCAGCACATCTTTCTCCAGGGATGAAATCTACCCTATTCTTTCACACATCCAATAAGTGCCGAAGTCCTGACAAAAACATCACATCTGTCAGAGACTCCTTTGAGCCACTAAATTACAGAATGGCTCTTAAGCAATGGAAAGATGACATTTCTCTACAAGTCCACATCCCAATTGTTAAAAACAGAGCTATCTCTCAACAAAAGTGTTTAAGGAGATATTAAAAAAACCTGTTGACAAATTAAATTTTTTTAAAAAGTGTTAAAATAATGAAAAAAGTGTTAAAATAATGAAAAATATGTGAATTCATCCTAATGCCTTAGCTATAGGAGTCACTACATTTCCTAAACAAAAATACAAATATGCAGTGGTTAATTCGTTTTGGGAATTATGTATTTATAAAGGTCAATGAAATAGCACTGAGTGGTACATGACACCGCATCCTCATAGAATCATAGACTCCTAGAGTTGGAAGAGACCTCATGGGCCATCCTGTCCAACCCCTTGCCAAGAAGCAGGAAAATCACATTCAAAGCACTCCCAACAGATGGCCATCCAGCCTCTGCTTAAAAGCCTCCAAAGAAGGAGTCTCCATCACACTCCAGGGCAGAGAGTTCCACTGCTGAACAGCTCTCACAGTCAGGAAGTTCTTCCTAATGTTCAGGTGGAATCTTCTTTCCTGTAGTTTGAAGCCATTGTTCCTCTGCCACCCTCTTCCCCTGCCTTGCCTCCCAAGCCATGTTCCTTAATCAAAGGCCAAAACCCGTGTAATAGCAACTTCTCATGCTTTGCATTCATGCAAGGAGGCCTAATTAAACCGTTCTCACAGGAAATCTCAGGAAAACAAAAAGTAATATAAAAGCAATTCTAGAGACCTATTATTATGTAGCCAGATAGAAGTGTTGTATTTTTTTCTTTGGAGGCAAGAGATATAGGAAGTGTCTATCCCAGTGCTATTATCACTGACACAGGGACTTCCACATGATGTTACTGCCATAGGATCACAGTACTGAAGTATCCAAGCTTAAAGTTCTTCAGAACTTGATATATTCCTTGATTGTTATATATATTGCAAAGTACTGAATGTATATGTTTGGAGGAATGGCAAAAATGTAAAATCCTTCATTGGTAGAATCAAGAATATTTTTTTATATAGAAGGAGATCACAGTCACAGTTAGATGGTACCCAATACACTCTTCACAGAAAGCCTTCGGTTCTGGTCCTGAGCAGTCCAATTAATAGGAGTCCAGCAGGGACTCAGATGATGGGATAGGACTGAGGCCATGGAGAGACACTGCAACTAAGCTATATCTGTATATGGAAGGGTACAGAAAGAATTCATCCTAGCATGAGATAACTCCCTACATTCTTGCTCAAAAGAATTTAAAACTGCCCCTTTTGTTATAATTATCACTAATGGAACAAAATTAGATCAGTGCATCCAATTTAAGATAATATCAAAAGGCTGAATTCCCAAGATATATAATTTAACAAAGCAAAATTTATTGCAATGAATTACAATTAACTCTTAATTATGCAAACAGATTAAAATTAATCAAATGTTGTAAGTGATAATATTAGTACATCTTTTTAAAACTGGAAATAATTGCTCTGCTTATCAAAAATAATTGCTCCTGAAATCTAACTCTTAGCTAATCACACAAAGGGCCATTACTCTATCATGTGGGACCACTGTGTTTCTAAATACCAGCACTCCACTCAGCTGCTGCCAATAAAGCATCACGCCTTCCCCTATCTACGATTATAGAAGATGTTTCAAAATTGGGTTTCCATTAAGGCACAGCTAGAGCACCATTACATACGATACTGTGGAAGAATCATAAATGGAACTAGGATGTTTTGTCTGGTAAATACAATAGTCTGCCAATGCCAACATGTTAGGATAAGTGAATGCTTTCTCACTTTGGGGTGCACATCCAAATATGCATCTCACTGAGAGCAATGGAACCACATCACTCTCTGAATGCAGAAACCGTTCCTTGCTGCACTGTCTTATTTTCAACAGAATGGACTGAGATTTTAGAAAGTTGACAGTGTAGATAGAGTGCTTGTTCCACCCAACACCCTTGTGAAAAGGTTGTGATCCTTTGCTGAGAAAGCCCGAAAGTGCTGAAAACGAAGACTCATATTGCTCTCTTTTTGTCTCAGTGCCCACATGTTCTTTCTGAGCTGGTTAGGTAGTTCCCTGTAACAAACATCAAGGGAGGAGGACAGCTGAATAGGAAGGAACACCTATGAGTCTATGTCTAACACTTGCTTGTTTTAACACATGTGGAACTCTAGTGTGAAAACTCAAGCAACAATATAATAAGTTTCTAAATATATTTTGCACCTTCCATTTCTTGAGAAGTCCTCTCAAATCCCACTATTAGGATCGAATAAAGTTAGGTCCAAGGAGGCCACATTTATGTTTGCTCTGTTCACCAAATACAATTCAGTATATAAATACCAGTATAAAATATTGCATAGTGTCAATCATTCATTTATTTATTACTTTATTCATTGTTATTCTGCTTATTTTGTACTTACTGTGCCCCACCACAGAGCATCCGCATATGTAGAAAACTGATCATTTTCATCTTTTTCAACCAGATAGACAAGGAAAGATGAAAAAATGAGTACCAAAAATCCTATGTACCAAGCTGTGATTAACTCCTGTAGGGTAAGAAAAGATAGAATTAAAATGGAAGCACATATTTCGACAACTGTAACAAATCATCTGTTGGAAGACACATATTTTTGGTAAGTTCTATGAACACTTAGATCAGTACAAAATCATTATGGTGTGTATTTTCCTCAAAACAAGGAGTAGACAATCATACTGCTTTAATGCATATGATTTCAAGGATGCCTAAAAGGTTGCATTCACCTTGTGGGATTTATCAATTTCTCTTTGAACAGCAGAACCTTTCCACACTTGCAAGACAGGTGTGTCGTGTAGCCATGTTGTCCGAATGCCCAATCACCACTTCCCAAAACAGTTACTATATTTCCAACTCAAGAACTGGAAATGTAATATTGGTGGACAGGAAAAGAGATTTAAAGATGGGCTAAAAGCACATCTTAAAAACTGTAGCATAGACACTGAGAATGGGAAGCCCTGGCCCTTGAGCGCTCTAACTGGAGGTCAGTTGTGACCAGCAGTGCTGCAGAATTCAAAGAGGCACAAAGGAAGGGTGAAAGGGAGAAAATTGCTAAGAGGAAGGCGCATCAAGCCAACCCTGACTGGGACCACCTTCCACCTGGAAACCAATGTCCTCACTGCGGGAGAACATGCGGATCAAGAATAGGGCTCCACAGCCACCTATGGACTCACCACCAAGACATTACACTTGGAGGAGCATCATCCATACCATGAATCCTACTGTTCAAGAAAGAAAATGCCAAATTCTTTCTGACTATGTAAAATTAACTGCATAGCTATGGTTAAAACAAATATGCTCCTTGCACCTCCCTCCCTCCCTTTGTTTGATATTCACATATGATTTACACAGATGAAAATCAGAGGAGTGCATTAATCCGTACCTTACTATGTGCATAAACCACTGAACCTAATAGTTTCCAGGTTCCTCCTCTTCGGTCCATGCGCACCATGCGAAGGATCTGCAGGAAACGAAGACTCCTGAGTGCTGATGTTGCAAAAATGTTACCCTGAGTTTTTGCAGAAACAACTGCTATTGAAGCGATGAGAACTATTATGTCTGAAAGAAATATATTACAAAATATATTAATGAATGTGCATTGACCAGTAATAATTACACAGCATATTATTGTAGATTGGGCGAATGGGGTGATTTTATGCATTGAGAACAGTGTTTGTGCCATTTCTGTGTTGAGTCCGATTGTGCAATCAGAACAATATTTCTGACAAAATATAGAGCTCAGTGTTCAAAAGGGACACACAGGCAGCCCTGAAAGAAGGAATCAATTGCATATAATATCAGATTTTCCACTTCGCTTTTTAGAATAGGGTTATCTATAAGGAGAGGCAATAAGCACTAATGTTAGTTCTGTGTCAATGAAGATATTAAAATGCATGGGCAACATTTTCAACATCTATAAGTTTGAAAAGTGAGTGAGCTGCAATAATTACAATGTCCCTATAAGTCTGAAAGTTTAACAAATAATATAAAATATTTCATTAAATTCAGTGCGATAAAATACTACCTTAATGCAATTATTCTAGTAATTTTTCTACTTTCCCCAAACACTCTTCTTCAGTATATTTTTTGCATTTCAAGGCAGGTATGTTACAACACTCATTTAATCTGTGTGCCAGTTTCACGGGTTCCAACTGGAGGTCATTGCTTACAATAAAAGTGATGTCACCCAGAATTCTTTCCTATATACAGCCAATGCATCTCATGAATACAATACAGGGTAGATTAAGAACATCTTCAAAAATGTAAATGAATGATGTATTTTATTGTTATATGAAAGACAACACACACAAACAAATATAATGAAATAGATGTCATATCTGCTAAACAGCTGGGTTATTAATGCTTTGTCATACTTATTATTTGCCCAAGAAAACAATCCTCCAGCATTCCATCCATTGTGTTGTTGGAGTAAAAGAAATCAAGTGTCTCTTGGTAAATTAAAAGGAATGAATACCAAACCTCTGTGAGGACGTTTATTTAATTCAGTTTTTGCTGCTTTCAATGTACAAACGAGTTTGTCAGACACTGCAAGTGCAGATATTCTGTCTAAGTAAAAATGCACATATAAACTGCAGGGTCATCTCCAATTGTAGTACAGATAATAAAATAACATGCCTTTCTCTTGAGGAAATGGGCAAGAACAATAGCACACTCTAGCTCTTCTATGTGGTCTCTGTGAAACATGAGCAAAAGTTGTTTACTTGAATGGGAAAGCTCAGTGCCAGCGACGGACAGTATTAAAAACATCTCCCCTCCCCGCATTTTATTTGCACAGGGATTAGAAAGGAGGGGTTTTACAATGGAGCCCTACAGCTTCCATTCCATGACATAGAACTACTTATGGTGGGGCTCCATTCTGTGACAACACAGAAGGCATACCATGTTCAATGGCACTGAATGGCTGCCAAACTGTAAGCCACCTTGAGTCACATTTGGGCTTGAGAAGGGCAGGATAAAAATATAGCAAATAAATAAATAAATAAATAAATAAGTAAATAAATAAATAAATAAATAATGGAGTCAATGGAGAGAATCCACTTTCTTCCACAGGATGAGGTGGGGAGAAGCCGAGGGATGTGGGGTATGGGATGATGGGTTCCCCCCACCAGGCACCACTGGATTCGCCATGATGCGTGGTGATTCCGGTGGCCCATCTGGTGGGGTTGTTAATGTATAGGTTGTTAACTTTTCAGTAAATGAAAGCAAAATCAAGATTTAGGTGGCAGAAACAGAAAAGTGTGTTTTTATAGCAGTCAAAGAAAACTCATCCTCAGTTTTATGATATTTTGTTTTGATATGTGCATCTGAGGAGTTGAGGCTCCACATGCTTTAATTTATATATCATAATCATCGCTGAAGATAAAGGCAAATTTTGTCTATACAAATGATACTACACTAAGATGATGGATATGATTTTTTCCCCAAACTGTTCCAGAGTTTCTTTGTAACTCTTCCTCATGACAGAAGATCTTCCAAATGCATTGTCACTATGTGAGCAGCTTGCAAGTGGGCAAACGATGGATGGAGCCAGATTTCCAGGGCCAACCCTGAACAAGTCATACTCAAAGAGCCCACTTACAAGCTGCTCATATGGCGGTATACATTGGCGACATCTTTGAAATCATGATTAGTGTGTGACAAAGAACCTGGGAGTGACTCAAGAATTATATCAACTCTCCCCATCTCTCCATTACATTTCCATGCCGTTGGGAGTTCTTGATATGAAGGAAAACAAGCTATCCGTATATGATAAAGAACCCAAACAAACTACCATGCTTTTGCTTACCCTAAAAAAAGCATTGATCAGATCCCTATATTTTGACAAACATTTGCTTTATCTGCTTTGCAGGAGTAGTCTTTTCTCTTAAACAAAATGTGTTTGTTTCAAGCCAGACTGGTTATGATTGAGCATCACCTGTAAAGACTAATTGGCAGAATATGTTTAGGAAATTCTCTGAATAAATAGCACTGTCTGATTTTTGCAGATGTTGTTAGCTTAGCCAAAAATGTCTGCACTCTCAAGTAGATACATGACATTTTCTGTATGAGAATATTATTAATTATCAACATGGGAAATACAAATGTCACTTTCCCAGTTTTTGTAATTTTTGTTTCAAGATACAAAGTGACTTTTTCATTTTAAGACTTAAGAAACTGAAAAGGCTGAGATGTCACATAAATCTTGAATCATAATTTGGTCTGGGATGTGAAAATTAATTTCTGCTATTGCTCTGCACTAGAGTATCAAGGGCTAGCAGGAGGCATTCAGAAATGTGGGTGATATTTCTGAATTATATGAGCAATGGCAATTTGTGGGATGTGCCTCTTAGCACCTTTAACAATATGGAATACACACATTGTATGATTTTAGCTTTTCCCAGATTAAGACTTTTTCAGTCCAAATTACAGGAAAAGAAAGTCCACCTGAACATTAGAAAGAACTTCATGACCGTGACAGTTGTTCAACCGTGGAACTCTCTGCCTCAGAGTCTGGTGGAAGCTCCTTCCTTGGAAGCTTGTAAACAGAGCCTGGATGGCCAACTATCAGGGATACTTGGATTGTGCTTTTCCTGCATGGCAGGGAGTTGGACTAGATGGTCCACTACTTGTATTTTACTGCTCATCTGCGTGGTATATTTTCTTTCTCTGGCAAGGGAGTGTGTGGGCTGATCAAATGTGAACTATGCATAATTTTCACTTCGTCACACAACTCAATGGAAGAATTATCAAGGGGAAATTATCAAAAACAAGAGCTGTATGTAAGTCAATTTGAAATTAAGAAAGCATTAAATTTTATCTTCTTTGAATTGTACTTCATACATGGTACAACAAAAGGAAAGATATGTATTTCCATTTGATTCGCATATGTAATTTTTTTGCTTCCTGAACAGCAAGAGGTGGAAGACCAGCAACATGGGAAATACAAATGTGACATCACAATAAAGCACAAGCAACATTCTTCACTAGAATACTACGATGCATTTCTTGTGCCTCCTTCATGTTCTTGACCTGCATTGATTTTCCTTTTGGTCTTCATTATGTGTTATTTAGACTTAAATAATGTCTACAAAACCACAATACAGTAGTTCCTGAAAAAGAGCTCGTTGTGGAAAGGAAGAAGATGAAAGATCAGGAAAGCTCTCACTGTTATTACCAGACCTGCAAACGTTTATTTTAGAGATGAGAGAAGGAAGATGCGTGCTAATATTCTACGACAGCTGGCTGCCCTGGCACGCTTCTACGCACCACTTTTTGGGGGCCGCAACCTTATCATTACCAATACGGTGAGCTGTGGTGTTTTACTGGGAACTGCAGATATAATTCAGCAATCTTTGGAGAGAAGGAGGAACCCTGCACTGAAGTGGGATGCTGACCGCATGTTACACATGTTCATTACAGGATGCACCATGGGACCACCCCTACATTACTGGTACGTCTTGGTAGACAAAATAACCCCAGGAAAAGGAATGCAACACATAAAAATTGTTCTCCTAAAGGTAGCAATTGATCAGGCCTTTGCTCCATTCTTTGGATGCTGGTATTTCACAACGATGGGATTGCTTCAAGGCCATAGTTTGGCAGACAGTTTGAAGGAATTTAAAGAGAAGTTCTGGGATTATTTCATTGCAGAACTCACTGTGTGGCCGGCCGCTCAACTGTTAAATTTTCTCTTTCTCCAACCAAAATACCGAGTGATATTTGTGAATATGGTGACTTTAGGATGGAATGTGTACCTTTCATATCTCAAACACAGAAGTTGAGGACTGCAAAAGAAACTGAGGACTGCAAAGCCTTGGAAGCAAAAACACAGAGCACAAAACTATTTCTTTGAGTTAGCTTTGCAGGCTACAAATATATGCGATTTTCATCTCTCATTGGATTTTTATTGATTCTGTTTACTTCACAGGGACATTTTAAACTAGAAAATATGTTTTATGATCCCAGGCATTTTTTTTAGCTTAACCATTTTCCTTTTTTCTTTTTTAAAAGAAAACTTGTAATGACACACATGGGAATATATTAACAATACAGTCCCAAGTAGAGAAACCAACTTTTTCGCATTTATGGTATTTATTTCAAACATTACTATACTATTTCCCTACATACAAGAGGTCTTAAAGAAATTCACAACAATTTTATATTTAAACATAAATACCATATTTACTTTGTCTGTAATGTTCGCCTTTTTTGGCTCAATTACATTGAGGTGCGCATTTGATTGATGGCTGCATTAGAATCACACACCTAAAGCTATCTGCACTGTTGGGCAAGAGATCGCAGCTGGAGACCAAGAAGGGAGAGGTAGCGGTGGCTGTGAAAAGGCTGGTGGGAAGCTGATGGTGGCCGTGAAAAGGTGGGTAGAAAGGCTAGATGGAGGGGTGCGGCTACCCACCAGGCTTTTTGCTGCCACCACTGTGGGTGGTTCCAGATAGCAGTTTGATCTGGGAACATTTGCGTTTTAAAAACATGATTGTTCCTGGGTTCTAGTCCACACCCTCCCCCAAGAAAGCACATTTTTTCTGGGGGAGGTTTCTGGGGGAAAGTCCAGCAGGGTACCGGGACACAAAAGAAAACCCCTTTAAAAAGTCTTTGAAAGTGGAAAATAACTCACCTGGATGCCATTTTACTTTTTCCAGAGTTCTCCTGGTTCGTACCATGATGCACCAACAGAAGGGGGGGGGGACAGAAGTGATTTTCCTCCCCCCTTCTCTTAGTTCGTTATTGATAAGACCCAGGAGAACTCCGGAGAAGGTAAAATGGTGGCTGGGTGAGTTATTTAAAAGCTTTATTAAGGGGTTTAGGGAGGGGGTGGGGCTGTCCAAGAAACCCAAGACAGATATATAGATGGGCACCGGAGGTTTCACAGTGCAATCCTCAGTCCCATCTACACAGCCTCCACACCTGGAAAGACACGAGTCTTCTGTAAGACCCAGGGCTTTCCAGCAGACAAATTACCACGACACAAAGCAGAGTTTTCCTGCTTTGTGCTGAAAGCATTAGTTTTCCCCTGAAGCATTACCTGGACACTCTAAGGGAAAATACAGGAGGGCACGCACCATAGGTGTTATCTGGATATACAGAAGAGGCTTATAGTATAGTTTGCTGGTGGGCAACCAACTTCCATTACAGCAAACCACTATATAGGAAAAGAAAGAGGCCCAACACTCTCCCTGGTGGAATAGTAATGCTATATAATAATAATAATAATAATAATAATAATAATAATAATAATAATTTGTTGTTGTGGTTGTTGTTGTAGTTTTTGTTACCTGCCTCTCCTGATATCTCAAGGCAGGATTCAACATAGATCATAAAATACATATATTTAAAAAAGAGAGAACAAAGATTTAAACATCAGTACGAACAAAATATAAATTTACAATTATAGATTAAAATTGACTAGGTAGACCTGTTGAAATTGACAAGTTTTTAATTGTGTTTTAAATGTTGGCAGCTGGCTTAGCTGTTGAATCTTTTTTGGCAATTCCACAGCCTTGGGGCAATCAATGAAGAAGTCCCCTGAGTGATGGCTGCCCATTAGGTTTTGACTGGTTGGAGTAGCCACTAACCAGAGGACCTCAGTGTCCCAGGCAGATTGTATGGGAAAGGCGAAGTAGGTAACTTGGACTCAAAACATTTAGGGTTTTAAAGGCAATAACCAGCACTTTGCCACTAAACGAACTGGCAACTAGTGGAGAGATTTTAGTATAGGTGTAATATATTCACTAATAGATGTAACCTAACCAAAATGTACAGTGGCTGTAAATAAACCCTGATGTCTTCATTCCATTAAAATCATAGCCAATGCTACAAAGCTGTCCTTTGTTCTACCCAAATTTCTTTTTTGGATTCATATTATCCTCTAATTTTCAGAAAGGTTCCTACATAATCTGGATGCAGGCTCCTATTTCTGCGTACTAAATAGCTAAAGAGCAGATAGAGCCACCCCATTTTTTAAAAAACCTTTTGGGTACAAGACTTTGGTTCCACCAAATCACTGGAATAGAAGGCATAGCAGAAACAGTTTGCAACATCATGTACATTTAGACATTTATGATCAACCGGGGAGGGACTTCTCTCTGTTGAGCACATTTGGTGGGAACATGGGAGAGGTCCTTTTTTGGTGGCTGCTCCCAACTGTAGAACTCCTTCCCAAGAGAGATCAGGATGGCCCCATCCCTGCTGGCCTTCCTCAGCCAGATCAAGACCTTCCTCTGCCAGCAGGCATTTGGAGAAGAATAAGGGGCATGCCTGTGATTCCTAACCTTTATTTCATCAGGGACCACTTTGACCAGAGACCACTTTCCCACATTAGTACCAAATAATAATAACAACAATAACTTTATTCTTACATCCCGCATCCATCTCACAAAGGAATTCAGGGCGGCTTACATGGAGACCAAGCCCAATAAATACAGAGATTACAAATAACACAATTAAAAACATATAATAAAAGGGTTACGAATCAATTTTTGGTCAGTTTTAGAATTGGTTTGGTTATTTGGGGTGCTGATTCAGAAAAATGCACTGATAGACCACATCAGCTCTAGTTTCTGACACAGAACACATGCCATCTGGTAGTCATCATCTGCTTGCCCCCAGAAAACCATATTTAATAAACCTTGGCACTATAAGAGCGTTTCGCAAGACCAGTAGCTCTTGTTACAACGGTGAGGTAATGGCGAGGCCGCAGACCATATTTTAATTCTTGTAAACCACTGGTGGTCCATGGACCACAGGTTGGGAACCACTGTTTTAACCTGTGACCAGATTGTAAGGTTGTTAGCTGCTTTGAGTCCACAAATAGATAAATCAATCAATCATGTAAATTTAGCACTATATCTTGAACTATTGCCCTAATCATTTTGCATTTAATCACATAAGTGGCCAACTTTTGAAATGGCAGTATGATGCCAAATAAATCGTCAGAAAGCATTGGGAAAATGTTTAGTGCAGGAAAGGAACATTAAAATATTCAACTGCTAATAAGGAGCATTTAAGGCCCCTTCCACACAGCTGAATAAAATCCCTACTCTTCTGCTTTGGAATATATGGCAGTGTGGACTCAGATAACCCAGTTCAAAGCAGATATTGTGGATTATCTGCCTTGATATTCTGGGTTATATGGCTGTGTGGAAGGGCCCTAAGAGATGTTCAGTTTTACTATTAGTCTTACAAGTGTATAGACGCTGCTGTTTAGACTTATTAACTAACAGCATCTATGGCATTAAAAATAAACCTTTCTACATATGTAGAACATGTTACGGAATTTTCTAATTATGTATAGAAATTCTCTTAGCAGAGAGAAGGTTAACACTGTGCAACTATTTTAAAAGGGAGAAACCTTTTAAAAAGCAATAAAATCAACTTTCACAACTGTATGCAATATATATGAAACAAACATACAATTGTACAATCCTCTGGAGAGGAAGAATATATATGTGAAACTTCAAAATGATTTAAGAAAAAATGAGGAGAAATATGATACAGAATGCTTAAATATACAATACCTGCTGTCATTCTGCATGTGCTTTCTCATTTTTATTGTTTTTGTATAACTTAGCCAAGAAGATGCTTATGTGTAATTCTATAGGATGTATAAGATGCTTCTCTTTCCATTGGTAGTTAGGCAAACCAATGCAACCATCAACAGCACATCCAAATAGGTTTCAAATCAACATAACAGAAAACAGAAATTTAACAACTACAGTACGAAAACATACCTATAACACAGAATGGTTTCCTTGCAAATCGCAATCTTCCTTGCCATCCACGGTATCGACAACAGCAGCCAGCAGACCAGATGCGTATGATAAACTCCAAACCAAAGACAACGATCATGACAGACTCCTGAAAAGGAGCAAATGGGAAGCAGAGTTAGTGAATTCAGCAGTACAGAAAACAGAAGAAAATATTCCTCACTAATGTATGTCAAGCAACTGAAATAAAACTGCATTGCTTCATAAATAAATAAATACCATGTAGCATTTCGATATTCATTTTTTACATAATATAAAATGACAGTTAGAAGATTACAAAAGGAAGAATTGTTATGCAGAGAATAATTGCCCTTCAGGGAGAAGCAACTTCATCCTTATGGACTGTAGTCTTGTATAGGCAGATAATAAAGGTAAAGGTAAAGGTAAAGGTAGTCCCCTGACATTAAGTCCAGTCATGTCTGACTCTGGGGTGTGGTGCTCATCTCCATTTCTAAGCCGAAGAGCCAGCGTTGTCCGTAGACACCTCCAAGGTCATGTGGCCGGCATGACTGCATGGAGCGCCGTTGCCTTCCCATCGGAGCGGTACCTATTGATCTACTCACATTTGCATGTTTTCGAACTGCTAGGTTGGCAGAAGCTAGGGCTCACAGCGGAAGCTCACGCTGCTCCCCGGAATCGAACCTGCGACCTTTCGATCAACAAGCTCAGCAGCTCAGTGTTTTAACCCACTGCGCCACCGGGGGCTCCTCGCAGATAATTTTTTTTTTTAAGAATCAATATAACACAGCGTAAATCCACACAAGCAGATAATACTTGTGTGGATTTACGCTGTGTTGTATTGATTCTTAAAAACATAAACCTCCAAAGGTAATTAATTACAGTTGACAAGTGCAATTTAATAGAAAGCATTTGTGACGTGGTGCTGGAAAGGCTTAATAAGTAAAAACATACAAGTTTAAAAGAAATTAAATTGTTAATATTGTTAAAACATTATCATTACAGTTAAATACATTTTAAATATAATTTTAAAAAATATAATAAAAATCGTATAAAGGATGGCAACATTAAAACAGGATGCACACGTACACACACCCCAGAATTCTATAATCTAAAATTACAATTCAAATGACTTTGCAATAAAAATCTGTAGGTTGGTTAATATATTGTTAACCTGTCTTGGTTCTCAAAATAGGTTATGCTAGAAATTTGAAAAATAGCCAATACTAACAACAAGACAAAACTGTATATTAGAAACAGATACTATGTTAAAACTCTCACAAAAAATATTATCCAGGATATCATTGTTAGAGTTTAGTTGTCTGAAGGAATTAAGGCTTCATGAGCTAACTCCAGCCGACTGAAGTACTTGAAAAGGCTTATTAAGTAGTTTGCCAAAGAAGATAAGGTAAGATTTATATCCTTATTTGGCAGGTAAAACATCTCCATGTCCAAGATAAAGCTGTTCTGTGTCATCTGGTCATTAGTTATCCACACATGAGAACTAACATGATGTCAGATTAGAAAACAACTACGACAAAGACATCGAGGACAGGAACATCTGCAAAGAAAACAGGGGCCCAATTTTGATTTTCTCCCCCTTGTCATTTCACTTATGTTTTTGGTTAAAATTTTTTTTGACTACTTCAAATTTTGCATGGCACATTCACTGCAATAATGTAATAATGGCCATATAATTTCTTAAAATTTATCTATTCTAAGTTGTGCCAACTTTATAAAGTCCTGGATAGACTTATGGAAAAAATAGACCCATTTATGATCCCACAACAAGCTGGTTTCAGGAAAGGGAAAAGCTGCACACCACAAGTGCTGAACCTGACTCGGCGCATAGAAGATGGTTATGAAAGACAGCAGATTACAGGCACTGTCTTCATAGACCAGTCAGCCGCTTATGATACTATAAATCAGTGATTCCCAAAGTGGGCATTACCGCCCCCTGGTGGGCGCTGCAGCGATCGGGGGGGGGGGGCGGTAATGGCCTCAGGTGCATTTGGGGATAATGAATAACTGTAAGGGGGCGGTGAAAGCATAAAAGAAAAAAGAGAGGATTTAGAAAAAATGATTTCCAGGGGTAGACCAAATAAGTTTAGGAACCACTGCTATAAATCATTGCCTCCTCCTGAGAAAAAGGTATAATATCACAAAGGATTACCACCTCACCTGCTTCACAGAAAATCTGCTACAAAACAGGAGCTTTTTTGTTGCATTCCAGGGCCAGAGAAGCAGATGGCGAAAACAGAGGAATGGCCTTGCCTCAGGGGAATGTGCTTGCTCCATCAATGATAAACATTTACACAAATGATCAGCCACTGCCAGAAGGGACAGAGAGTTTCATCTATGCTGATGATTGTGCCATCACCGCCCAAGCAAGGAACTTTGAAATAGTTCAACAGAAGCTCTCCGAAGCTTTAGGATGCTCTTACTGCCTATTACAGGGAAAATCAGCTGATCCTAATCCATTTAAAATGCAAACATGTGCTTTTCATCTTAAGAACAGACAAACATCTCGAGGTCTGAGGATTACCTGGGAAGGAATCCTACTAGGAATCACAACCAGACACAGTGAAGACATCTGCCCTTGCGCTTGAGTGAGTTACAAATGGGAGTGAAAGCTGGAGGAATTTTTCTCTCTATAAAATTCAATGGATCAGAAAAGCCACTGCATAATAAAAGAAAATAATCTGGGAACGCCCATTGTGTGCTATTGTTACCCTTTAGATCTTTGTTCTCACGACAGCCAATAAGACTACAATAAATAAATTCAGAATGATCAGGATTCTTTACCAACATTTCAAATACAATTTCTGTCTTGGTAGATGCATAGAATTGGGGCAAGAATTTTATATCACTTTGAATTAGGGCACATTGTGCATTACTGTGTGAAAGCAGGCTAATTGAAAGAAGAGACAAAATGGACCAAAGAATTTAAACCAGAAAAATCTTATTTTATTTTTTGGGAGGGGAAGGTATGATGAGCAAAATCAAAGGGAAGCAGAAATGCATTAAAAATTCAATAGAGCCCAGGAAGAGAGGGGCAAAGGATTGGGGACTGAGGAATTGGCAGAAAGAAGATACATGGGCAACTGGCTTGCAAAATCTATAGTAAGGTTTTATAGTTTTTTCCCCCTGCCATTGAAGCGCTATGAATTATCTAATCATTAGGAGAGCAACAGAGCCATGCAACAGGGAGAGGAGGGTGTGTGTTTGCTGAGGGGGTCTGCAAGTTAGAAGTTCTTAATACACAACAGGACACTGAGGACTTTGATTATGTGCCTGAATATGCCTAAAGTGCTTGAGGGTAGAATTAAAAGAAAACCTCAGATATGAACGCCCTATATGCACAGGAGGCTTCTTAAATTTTAAATTTGATCACTTCCTTCCAAGTATTTAATTCATTGGGGCAACCTTGCTCACACAGAGCTGCATGTGTACTTCCAAGCTATGTACAACATTATTTTGGATATATATTCCTATGGTTTCAGCAAACATGCACCCAGAATGTAGTCACCAGAAGCAGGCATTATCTTTTGATCTGGTTGGCAAAATATGGCTGAACCTCCAGGTGCAGGCATGTAGCCGGGGGGGGGGGGGGGGCTTGAGGGGCTTCACCCCCCCCCCGAAATTCTCATGGTGGTTCGCGAAAAGGCCTTACTGGTGCATTATTTAAACTGTTATGTTTATTCATATCATGATCTGATCACCATACTCAATATATCCCATATGCATGGGGGTATTGGGGTAATGATACAAAAGGTTTGCTAGGCTAGACCCTCTTTCACTCAGACTCAGCCCCCCCAAACCAAACTCAGCCCCCCCGAAACCCCCCCTGAAATTTTTTACCCCCCCCCCCCGAAATGAAATCCTGGCTACGGGCCTGTCCAGGTGGGCTGCATCCCAGTATCCTGCCTTGCTTTGACCCCTTTATTGACATGTATACTTGTTTTCCAAAATAAAACAAGTTTGGAAGCCACACAGGGTCCCCACTACGTCATCACAATGATACAAAGACACGTTTCTACAGTGTGTACATATTCCATATATTGGTTTATGCATGGCCATGCATGTGCACATTCACATGATCAAATAGTATTTCTCTGTTTTCCATTGTTCTGACACCCCACCCCTGCATTCCTCTTAGATTGGGTGCATGCCTGGGTGGTTTCCTCAACTCTCACAACTGCTGCTTTCGCCTCCTCTAATTTACTGCCTTGTTTTTTTAAATGTAATATCCAGGAAAGTGGGAGTAGGATTGATGGCATATGGTACAATCTTGCATGGATCAACTGAGGCATAAGTCCTACTAAATTCAGTGGTCCTACTCCCAGGAGAGTGTTTTATAGTGCTTGCCTCAGGAAACCCCACTACCTTGCTCAAAAGGACACCAAATGGCAAGCAAATATTCAAAGATCAAAGATTAAAGGCTTCACATATGCACAGATTGCAAAGAAAAGAAGAAATTATACTTATTCTCTCTGTCCTTGTAAAAGTGAGGAGGAGCCCAAGCGACACATCTCCAATGACTCCATGCTGCCTACCCACCAGCTGGTCACCATCTACCAACCTGGCTCTACTTTGCTCCCACCCTGAATTTAATCCCAATCCCAGTTTGAGGATCAAACCACACATTTAAAAAATCTTCCCCAAATTAATGGAATAAATTTGAAGGTTTTTAAAAATCACCTTAGTCCTGTAGATTAATTAAGTCTGAAAGTAGGACAAAGTCATCGTGTAAGTACAGCGCTCAGTTCAAATGAACCGTAGGACCATAGATGAGCATGTTATTTACTTATCTTGGCTGCATACAATAAGGCAGAGGCACTCTAAAACATCCACTGTTACATATTTAGAAGTTGTGTACAACAGTTTATCCTTGAGTGTAGAGCCACAGTGACAGTGGATGTTAATCACCAATTATACAAGAGCTTTAACTCCATGGAAAACTCAACTATAGGGAAAGGCAATAAGGAGAAAGGATAAGCATGTAAGTTCACTCAACACCAGTTCTTTTAAAAAAAGTTAAGAATGAGGTCAATTTCTTAATTGTATCAATCAATTTATATACAAATACTAAAATAAGTAGACATATGTTAAAAAGTCAGAAGGTACATAGAG